CATGCGGTTGCTGGCCTTCATTAAACCAGGACCAACTCCATGATTGCGTAAATGCTAAGAGTTGGCAAGGAATCAGCACTGCAATGTATTAACTGAGCAAACAGCTCACCAAGCTTCAACTTATTTATATATTTTTTTTTGTCAGTGACTTTCTAGTTCAACTGGGTACTACACTGGATTTCTGGTTTGAGGTACTAGACTCTTCATTGTGAGAATTCTCATCATCTGTGGTGTGCTGTGTTGGTCATTTCCAAATACAGTAGTTGACACAGACACACTATAAAGTAACAACATAGCAATTTAAATTTTCATGGGCTGAGTCTCTCACAGAACAAAATTTGGTATCATGTTAACAATTATGTTTACTAGGCTTGAATTATTTGCCATTTTAATTGTCTTGCCAAAGAATCATTGTTCCTGTTTTATTTTAGTATGATGATTTTTCACACACTAGGGTTATGTAATACACCATTGTCACTAAAAGCAGTTAAGAGGAATATCTAGTTTGCTTCACAGAATGATTGTGTTCCCTATCATTGTCTCCGAGGGGAGAGGACCTGTCCTTTGCAAATTCATGTGTTCCTCACAAAGTCACAAAGTATGTTCACTACCTCTACAAGTATTTATTTAAAAAAAAGGGGGGTATGTCGATATAATGTACAGTATTTGAAAGCAGTGCGGGTATTACTTCTTAAACGCGGTATGAACAGCACATTACATTATATCATTTCACATCAAAATGTAAATAAAAGTGTAAAAAAACAAGTCAAATCGTTCGCACTATTGACATGAACCACAACCAGCTTTTAAATGTACGCAAGACGCATGCGCACGTTCACAAGAAGTGGAGGAGTTATCGGTTGGCTGCTCATTTGCCTGTCCCCATTGGACGAGAACGAATGAACAAGGTGGAATGTGATTGGTTAGGGTTTGTTTCGTGAGTTGCGGCTGTCCAATGGGCGTGCTTTATACTACTTTAGTGTGAAACGGAAAACGCGAAACAGGAGACATTTTGGTGTTGTGACGGGAATGCATTTGCTATTGAAATACTTTTCCAGTGAAGGGAACATATTGATAAGGGGTTAGTTTAATGTGTTGAACGACCGTCATATGGTACTTGTCCTCGGAGTAGATGAGACATCCACGTTTATGGCGACACTATTTTTACTCACGCAGCGATGTGCTAACAAGTGTAAACACGGCTTCCACATGTCATGAAAATAAGTAAGTATGGACGGGTGGGGCTCAGTCGTTGCACCAGATAATGACCCTTCAAGCTCCGAGGGGGAATACATAGTCGAACCAGGTCCCGAACATGAGGCGACAGAAGGAGCACATCGGGGCGTTGTGGAGAGGATGGATGATGGGGCCACCGATGTCGGATTCGGATTAAGTGGGATAGGAGAAAGCAAAATGTTGTTGGGACGAGGCGGACAGAGAGACGACAAAGAATTTCGGTACTTGCACTTATTGTGGGAACCAGGACGAGCAGAGACTGGACCTGGTGGCGGAACCAACAAGGTGGGGAAGATGACCGGAAGCAGGACTAGGAGGTGTCACCGAGCCACAAGGAACCCGATTGGTAAAGATGTGTATGGTAAGACACTGTTTATATGAATAGTTAAGGCTGGCTGTCTCTATAATTAATTTAATCACTGCCAACCCTGAAAAAAAAAAGAAATTGGGCATGGTTCTAAATCAAATCAGTCAACAGTTATGCAATCTAATCTCAGATAATTAGCGAATGAAATGGCAGCTACGTGTTACTAAAAAATGTAAGTGGTTGCTGATAAAGATATAACGTATGCAGAATAGATTTTCAGTGAGGGACCCCTAAATTGCACCATGAGGCTGTGTATAAAGTGCATGTGAAAGGTTTCTCAAATGTGCATCGAATTTGGATGGATTCTCTGTGCTTTGCTGCTCTGCAACGTGAGGCCAATACACCTGTCAAAAAGCAGAGTATTGAAATCCGTTGTACTCTGAATCTTTTCTTCACAGCCGTGAAGAGACTGAGGGACGCAGCAAACAGCAATGACATCGATACAGGTCTGAATGAATATGAACGTGATGCATTAAAAACAACGACAAGATGAAAAGTGATACAGAACAAGCTGGTTTGATCAGTAACGTTGTGTGATTCCAGTTCGGAAGCTCCTGCAGGATGACATAGACCCATGTGCAGCAGATGACAAGGGAAGGACAGCCTTACATTTTTCTTCCTGCAATGGCAATGAAAGCATCGGTAAGTTGAATACCAATACAGTATTGTAAATCGTACGCTGGGTAGATTTTCCAGATTTGCACTGGCAGAGGCGGATGGTGAAAATGCGGTGGCCTCTTCTTGACCACTGATGGCACTGACCAGGAACTTGTCTGCTTGATCGGATTGTTCTTCTAATGTAATTTTGCTGGCAAAATATTTGAAGCTATTGTTAGATTTCAATAATTTAGGATTGTTTTCCATTCATTATTTCGATTAAAAGGACATCACTTCTAAATAATCAAGAAATGTCCCTGTTTATGTCTGCAGTGCAATTACTGCTGAGCTACGGTGCTGACCCCAACCAACGTGACAGTCTGGGTAACACCCCACTCCATCTGGGTAAGAGAGAATAGGGACCTTTTAAACGGCGACATGTCTAAGTTGTTCCCCGCCTCTCGCTCAGCATCAGCTGGGATTGGATCCAGCTGACCTCCGAACCTGATGAGGATAAGCAGTCTAGAATGGATGGATGATTTTTTTTTTTTTTTTTTAATTGAATACAAAACAATGCTTTGGTCCGTTTTTAAGCCTTCCATTTTCTGTTGCTTCATGATTATTTTAACCTGTTTGTCTGCAGCGGCCTGTACAAACCATGTGCCTGTCATCACCACATTGCTAAGAGGAGGTGAGACAGTAGCACTCGTTCTATTAATGCTGCCCACTTTTTTCATTGAAGACATCGGGGACAATTACAGGATGATGTCATATCTCTATATTTTTAAATTCTTCACGTATCCGTTGAGTTGCAGCTTTGTAATGACATGGACTTAAATTTGGTGGTTTTGATCTGGTGTTACTGAATATTAATGGGGTAACTGACAATTGTTGCCAACTGGTGTTTTCTGCAAAGGATCCCGTGTGGATGCACTTGATCGAGCAGGCCGGACTCCTCTACATCTTGCACGCTCCAAACTTAACATTCTGCAGGATGGGGATTCTCGCAGTTTAGAAACCCTGAGAGGGGAAGTCACACAGGTAGACAACATGTAGTCTTGGTTCTTTCCAACATTTCTTTTTGTCAGAGAAGGCAGGTAAATGTCTCAGTCAGACCCCAAATGTACAAACTACAAACATTTAAGATGAGATGGGGAGCTTTTTTGTGCTTGATTAGCTTACCTCTCGGGTATGTATTTGAACTGGATTAAAGAATCTGAGTTGTCCAAACTTGAATTGATGTACTGGCGATGATGACGATGCCGATTTATGCATGTGTTATTTTCGGCACTCAGATTATTCAAATGCTGAGGGAATATCTAAACCTAATGGGCCAAAGTGAAGCCAAAGAGAGACTGGAGCACATTTCCTCCCAGCTGCAACGCATGAGAACCAAAGAGGAAGTAAGATGTACATCCTAATAACATTTTATATCATTGCATTTATAATATGTCATACAATTCCATCAATCAAACATCGTTTTTTTTTTTTATTTAATCACATTGTCTCTTTTTTTAGGTGGATGAGGTGACTGATTTACTAGCCAGCTTTACTTCACTCAGCCTTCAGAAACAGAATTTGGGAGGAAGGTAGAGGATAAAGAAACTGGATTCCTGCTCCCTTTTCAAAGCAAGTCTCAGTTCCTCCATCTTGAACACTCATTGATACCGCTGTTCAGTACCACTGTCATGATTGTCAGTCAGAGATCCTACAAATCTGTAGATGCAGATTTTTGTAACAAATTAATTGATCGAGACAGGGGCACTTTCTTGGGACTACACTTTGAGTAATTTTATTTTATTTTATTTTTTTAATGACCGAAGTCTGTGAAAATCTGGGAGAAGGTAGTAGGTTCAAGAATCTGGAGTCTTCGGAAAATTATGAATCAAATGAACTTCAGAAAAGAATGTGTACTGCCTATCAAAAAATTATGTATATATTCTTGTGTGTTTGAACAGTCTCAAAGCAGTCCATGTGCTGAATATATTTATTGGTCTTTGTGAAACAGTCTGACTGATGGCAAGCCTTATAAATTATCCAGCTACATTTCTTCGCCACCTGTCTTAGTCGATCAAAACATTCCTCCCATTTTTATTGTTCCTATGCATCTTCACTGTGTTCGTCCAATCGTGTCTTGTTTTGGGGTATAAAGAAAAAAAGAAACTTGAGAATTGACACATTAATTTAGAGATGATGTTGATCAAAGCTACCGCTATTGTGCCAAAAAGTAACAATTATTCATTTGCGGTTGGTGACAGTAAATTGCAGAAATGTTTTGATGGGATAGGACTTCCCGCATTAAATCCCTGATTATTGGATCCAGGTAATTCCAAGTGCATTTTATTTATTTGCCTTCAGCCAAACTGGACTTAACTATTCGACCTTAAAATGCATCACAGACCACAACAGGCTGGACGGCAATGGACAAATTGAACACACACATCTGGTGGGGTATGATGCGTCCGTCTGTGCCTGCGTTTCTTCATCTTACTATTACTCAAGGTCTACACTTCAACTAAATGAGTAACCATTCTTACTCTTTCTCTTTTGTTTTTTTCATCAGCAGGATATTTTCCATTTGTATTGCATGTTAACGTTTAATTAGTGTAAAAGTACAGTACTGTACTGCCAAAATGTATTTGTTTGATCAAATAAATGGACTCGCCTGTGTGATTATAAGTGACTTTTGTATTTCATTTGATCAGTTCCTGCACATGCACGTGTTACAGTATTTATTAATTTTTTAATACGAGTATATTCGTGAACGTCCGATGATGTCATCCTGCTCCACCAACGGCGATTGGCTGCAGAACACAAGCCCCGCCCCGGCGCACAGGCGTATTGTTGTTCGCCGGAATAAAGATGGCGACCTGGCCCGCGTAATTTGGAGATTCACTTGAGGTAATTCATTTTGACAAAGACAATTTCTCAGACCTTCTGCTAGTTTCGGAAACGGACACGAGGCCAATGTTGAAGGCGAAGCAATGAGAACAGTTGAATGCACGTGTGCATGATTGTAATCGTCGTTCAATGGACGGCGGCCTCGCTGTGTTGAAAGCACCGGGCTGTCGTGAGACGATCGTCCGGGAAAGACGACCCCCCTCGCGGCATGGAGCGTTTCAGGGCCGGAAAGGCCAACGAAGCCGGGTGGTCAAGTTAATGGGAGAGGGGGTGTGTTTGTGGAGCATTACGAAAAGTAGGCGGGAAATCTTCAAGTTCTCACTATTTGCACTCTTTAATTGGTGAGAAGGTGGTATCCTTCAAAACAACGCCAACTCGTGTCTTTTAGAATGCACGCCGGTGTTTTTGGTGGACTGCAAAATGTAAGATCTATTTATGCAATTCATTATGTTTGCAACGTTGTGGGCGATGCAACGAAGTCGATAATAACACATATATTACACTTTGCGTTGTCGGTACTGGGCTCTACTTATTGAAACGCGATCCACTGACTTGCTTTTCGAATTCTATTTAGGCAGGTCCCCATCCTGTCTTCATGCTGCCTGCCTGGAACATCTTCGATGAGGAAATATACTGAGTGGCAATGGCTTTTGAAGAGATCAGGAACAAAGGAGAAATGGGTAATGACACTTTTACATATGCAGAAAAATCTCATTAAAAAAGTGTGACTGCTGAAATAAGGATGAAGTCATCTCAATGTAGTCACAAATTCACTCATTGGATGAAATTGGATAGTTTTTCTCAGCACCCCTGAGGGTGTTTATGTCAAAAGCTGGATTAAAAAAAACCCTTACTGTTCTTGTGTTAAATAAGTGTTGATGTGAATATGTTTTGGAAATACCAGTTTCTGATTTAGACATTGCGATGGAGGGAGAGAGGGGTCTTGTCGCCGGTCGGAGCCAAAGGGAGAAGAGAAGGTCATACAAAGATCTTCTACGAGAGGAGGAGGAGATTGCAGCTCAGGTTCGCAAGTCTTCCAAAAAACGCCCAAAGGTGAATTTTTGCTCTACGTTACAGAGCTTATTACCTATTTGATGAATAGTCCAGTACAGTTTTTAACTTTTATGTTCTGTGTCATTTCCCATTAGGATTCAGAGCTCTTCATGCTGGGAGGTGACCCACACAAAAAGAAGAAGAAATATAGTGATGACTACTATTACAGGGGTTAGTTCCAGTTCAAGAAGCACCAACTAATTGAGACATGTTACCTGTCAGAGTGGGGGCTATATTTGAGGGGAAAAAAACCAAATATCTTCATATTGTTCACCTTTTGTGACTTTCTTATCAGAGCACGAAGGCCACCCCATCCACAAAAAGAAGCACAAATCACTCGACCGCTCCCCGACACTCTCTTCCCCTTCATCGTCCCACCCGGCAGACACGGCGATGGGTCTTCTGCAAGCCATCACCTCTCCCCTGGCCACAGGATCCGACCCCGGTTCCAATTTACACAAAAAGCCCTCCTATCCCTCCTTATCCTCGCATTCCTCAAAAGACCGCAAGCGTGAGGGCGGAAGCAAAGGGAGCCACTCGTTTTCCCATTCCCGTCCCATGTCGTCGTCGTCATCGTCGTCGTCGTCTTCCACCAAGAAGCACTCCTCATCTTCCTCAAAGTCATCACTGTTCCACGGCGGCTCCATCAAAGAGGAGCCTTTAACATTACGGGAGGCTGATGGGCTAAAAATGAAAGTGATTATGTCACCGGAAAAGGAGGAAACCGAGGGCATCCCGATCACTCACCACTCATCCAAAGTGAGTGGAAAGAAAGAGAAGGATCGAGAACGAACGCAGGTGTCGAAATCACCCAAGAAGAAGCTGCAGCACAGTCGAGATCCTCTTCCAGTCGTGGGGAAAGAGGTGGAAGTGGAAGGTAATCAATCGCGCCTTCATTCTAAAAGGTGGCATCTGTTTTTATTTTGGTGGCCATCGTATGATGTCGCACTATGGTCACGACACATAATTTGCCAGCCCCAACATCAAGGTAACGTGGCACAATTAAATCAGATCCGCTAAGGTCAGTTTTTTTTGACCTCACACTTTACGAAAGGTTTGCATCTATATCGATGCGACGCAAATTATTCAATTTGTCACTCAACATTCCGTGTTGTGCTTTGCGTCAAGGTCATTATGGAGGCGGCATGGGAGATGACAGCTCATCGTCGGGAGCGGAGCTGGAGGCGGGCGAACTGGTGATCGATGATTCCTACACGCACCAGTCAAAAAAGAAGAAGAAGAGCAAGAAAAGCAAGAAGAAAAAGGACAAAGAGAAAGACCGGGCCAAGGATAAGAGTGGGAAGGACAAAAAGCACAGCAAAGGCTTTGGAGGTGTTGTAAAACCTGTTTTCCGCCATGTCCGTTTCCCGACGTTGACTCCGCATGACCTCAAACGGTGCATTTTTATCCTCGATTGTCGTTCTTCAGATTCATCGAGGAGCTACGGCACCTCCCATCCCACCGTCTCTCATAGCGCTGTCGGTCCGATGTATGCGATGGGCACGCCGGTCCACCAACAAGGCAGTGACGGGGCGATGGAGAAGAAGAAGAAGAAAGAGGAGAAAGATCGGGAGAAGCACGACAAGGAGAAAGATAAGGTCAGCCTGTGCAACTCACTCTCTGAGAAGAGGAGTCCAATTAAACCTGCTCGCTTCTTGTATTCATTCAGCCCAAGAAGAAGAGTGCATCCGCATACCAGGTGTTTTGCAAGGAGTACAGAGTCAACATAACTGCTGAACAGCCAGGACTCGGTACGCCATTTGTTGGAAACTGTCCACTCATGTGTATGTTAAAAGTAAGAATGGGTGTGTTTCCGCCCGACAGTTTTCGGTGAACTAAGCAAAAAGTTGGGAGAGGTCTGGAAGAGGATGCCGGAAAAAGACAAACTGGCGAGTAGTTCTTTTCATTTTTCTTGATTTTATCCGATACCGTTCTAGCCACCGTTATTGGGACGCATTTTGGAATGTAATTTCCACGATCTGAAGGAATGGGTCAAATTTGTCGTCGGCATACGATAAAAAAGGCTTTCTGTGCCGCTTGTCGGGAGAGAGATGCACCCAGCTGACTTTGACGAACAGGAAGGGTTTCATTTGTCGCTATGAACAAAACATTATTGCGCAATGCCTGAAAACCAAAGTTTCGTCTGCCTTGGCAATGATTTGCCTGACTTTTGTCAGTGGTTTTGGTCAAAGATCATTGGGTGCCAGTAATATTGACCGCAAGTGTAATGCGGAAAAGATGGAGCGTCGTGTTTTGACTCTCTGCGTCGGTTTCATGTCTTCCCACTGCAGTTTTGGAGGCAGAAAGCTCAGTATCTGCAGCACAAACAGAACAAGGCCGAAGCTACCACAGTCAAACACAAAAGCTCAACTGAAAGCAAAAGCAAAGGTGCGTGTACGGTATCACTAACTCTCAACCCTGCCCTGGAAATTGGGGCGGAGGGGGGGGGGGGGGAAATCGTCAGTCTCATGAGCATATGTTGTTTCCTTAGCCAAAGCTGGTGTGGTGTCACCCAACCGAGCACCGGCCACCATGTCCCTTTCCCCCGCACGGGTGCCCGATGTCGATCCTATCGATGCAGCTGCTCACCTGCAGCTGCTCGGAGAGTCCTTATCCCTGATTGGCCACCGGCTCCAGGAAACAGAGGTGGGTTCCCACACCAAGAGGCATCTTGTTGTAGCGTAAAGAGGGAAGCTCCTCCTGCAGTGTGTACATTTCTTGAAGGTGCAAAAGTGCACAGCATCACACCGTTTCTCACTTAAGCACACGGGAGAATATGCACCTCTGTGACTATTACTATTGTGTGTGTGTTTTTTTTTTTTTTTTTAGGGCATGGTTGCAGTGTCTGGGAGCCTGTCAGTGCTTCTTGATTCCATCTTGTGCGCCCTGGGGCCTCTGACTTGTCTCACTGCTCAAATCCCACAGTTAAATGGATGTCCCCGAAACGTGCTGGTATAACATTAAAATAGTCATTTTTTTTTTTTTGAGGGGAGGGGGGCGTCATTTGGGTGTTACGCAGTTGCATTTTCTAACGAGGGTGTCTTTTTTTTGCTTGTCAGTCGAACACGTTGGACAACATTGCCTACATCATGCCTGGTCTGTGAGTGAAGGACGTCAAACATGCTCGAAGAACTTTGCTGTGACAAGTCAAGGCCCTGAGCAGAGGCCTCTTTGGACTTCATAGTTACCTTATAATTTGGCAAGTCTGAAAACATTTGTAGTCTCAACGTGTTTTAAAATTGTATGTTTTTAGACTTGATGAATTATAGCAATGTGTCCATTGATAGACTTTTAAAAGAAATATTTTATTGTTGATAGTCTTACCGTCTGATTTCATTGTTGTTGTACAGTGCGGCTTTGTAAGAAATGTTCTTGAGGCTGAATGCGTGTTTGTGTACAGTACTGTAATGTTTTTGCACATGTCTGTATTTTTTTATGGTTTGTTCAGGAGCATCTGCAACCTTGTAGTCATTTTTAACATTAGGGAAATATATTTAACATTTCATTCTTTAATAGAGTAAAGAAAAAAAAATCCCCTCTCCCGGCTGTTTTGTACCTACATTTGATCTCTCGCTCCGTCCTGCCCTCCGTGAACAAAACCCCAAGATACTTAAACTCCTCCAATTGGAGGGAAGATCTCATCCCGTCCCCAGCCGGGGAGGGCACTCCACTCCACTCTTCTCCGGCTGAGGACCAAGGCCATTGATGGGGAATATCTTGCTTTTCCAAACCCGTTTCATCATCATCGCGAATGCTCGATATGGATCACATTCCACCATGTCTGTGTGGGCTCTGCTTTTCTTCTGTCTTGAAGGTCTTCAGATCAGTTATGATTGTTGTGACTTCATCCACAGAAGTTGAAAAAGTGCTCGCTCAATTCGACCAAGTAGTAAAAAGTGCATATATCTGTTTTCAAAGTCGGGGGTAAAAGCGACAAACAAATGGTGAGTAAAATAAATGCTCATGTAAAGTACAGCTATCTGAAAAATCGACATGAAGTATTTTGTCCCTGATGACTTCCTACCACCGAGTCCCGGTATCAGGAGCCACAGTAGTCGGCGCTGCGCCCCCACGCTGCAGCCCAGGCGAGCGTCAGAAGGCGAGTCATTGGAGACCGTAACCCTGAAGTATTTTGTCCCTGATGACTTCCCATCACCCAGTCCCCGTATCAGGAGCCAACGAAGTCGGCGCTGCGCCCCGACGCTGCAGCCCAGGCGAGCGTCAGAAGGCGAGTCATCGTGCAGGAACGAGGAAACGCCCCTCCACCCGATTTCTCGCCGAATACGACAGCAAACCGGTCGTCATGTCTGCTTCTGGTGTTCAAACAGGTCGGTTAGCGAGGGCTACTTATATTTTACAGTTAAATCATTTCGGCGACAAAAGAAAACATTGACATTTGATGCTAGAAAAGTTTGGATCATGCCTTAAAAAAAACGCAATGGGGGCTGGTGACGCTGATAAAATTTTCACAATCAACAAACAGCACGCAAGTTATCTATCGGTGTTTTTTTAAAATATGTAAGCTATATATAATGCATCTACATGTATTTTGCCCGTAATAAAATCGAAGTGTTTTTTTTTTTTTTTCATCACATGTATGCAACGCCCAACACCGTCCATCTCGCTGCTGCGCAGAGTTGAGGTTGGTCGTGCTGGGCCGCAGCGGGACCGGAGGGCGGGCAGCGGTTTGCGACATCCTGGGCCTGCAAGATTTCCGTCAGGGAAAAGAAGAAACGTCCCCAGAGGAGTGCAGGAAATACAGAAGAGAAGCCGCCGGCAGACAGGTACGACAAAGACACATTTCCAGACTTTAGATGGACTGGACAGCCTCTCAATTTTTGGGTCATTTCAGAATTGAAGGACATTTTGTGCCGTCAGGGAAAAGAAGAAACTTCTCCAGAGGATTGCAGCAAATACAGAAGAGAAGCCGCCGGCAGACAGGTACGACCAAGACACATTTCCAGACTTTAGGTGGACTGGACAGTCTCTCCATTTTAAGAAACCTGACAGTTGCTGTTACACAATTTTTGGGTCATTTCAGAATTGAAGGACATTTTAGGTCCCACCTAACACATTTTAAATAATCCACATACAAATAACAAACCGTGCAGTTTCTGAATAAATTTACCCGTTTTGAGGCCAAATCTAAAAAAAAAAAAAAAAACATTTAACATACCAATTAAGTGAGGAGTATACCCCCTAAAATGCCACCGGAGTACCCGGAGAAAACCCACGCAGGCACAGTGAGGACATGCAAACTCCACACAGGAAGGCTGGAGCCGGAATCGAAC